AAAAACCCCCCCCCCCCCCCCCAAAAAAAAAAAATACCACCCTTTCTTTCGACAAATGGGAAAAATGTATCCCGTGTTACAATTTCTCTATATTTGAGCTCAATCTTAATTGACATTTGATGATTCCCAAGCAGTAAGGCATAAATAGAGAGTTTTTTTCTTCAGTTGGATCACAATTACACTGGTAGAGCATGAATGGGAAGTCACCACTTCAGAGGCTTTTATAATTCCTTTCATAAATGGGCAATTACATGGCCCTCTGTTTCTAGACACACTGTTTCTGATCCTTTTGATATCATTTAGAAGATCTTAGTCAGTTAGTTATGAAAACCTTTGCTCAACCATGAATAAAAAGATAACTCGGCTTGACAGAATTTTGGTTGTGCTCAAGCTCGGAAAAGGCTTAGTTAATTTTTTATAAGCATTCATATGAAAACTAGTTGTTTAATGCGTAGAACATCCTCCAAATCTTATGTGCACTCTTGGAGGCCCTAATAGAGCTTATCGTGATATCGACTATTGACTCGGAGCACATTGATGAGATCATGGCTATCAGAGGGCATTGAGATGCATCTAGTCGGAGGGTAGTGACATGTCTTATCATCCTTCCACAGACATTGAATGGTATCAGATGATATGCACGAAATACAACATAGAAGGAGAAGTTGAATATAGTGAGAGATTCAAGCCATTCTGAACGTCGCAGAATGATATACAATGATGAATGACGATAACTTCGAAGACTCAGGGTTAGCTCGAAGATGTTATGAGTTGCGTGAGACTCGTGGTTCACACGGAATATGGAAGGCTATTAGAATGGAAAGTGCTGAGTTAGATACAACTCGGTTGAGTCGTATAAATATCGAACGATACTTTTAACCATTCGTTTGACCCCGACTTTTATGTGGACTAACAGCGAGACAGGTTGGGCTGTTTGGGCTTTCTCCTGAGCACNGAGTTAGATACAACTCGGTTGAGTCGTATAAATATCGAACGATACTTTTAACCATTTGTTTGACCCCGACTTTTATGTGGACTAACAGTGAGACGGGTTGGGCTGTTTGGGCTTTCTCCTGAGCGCNATTTAGAAGATCTTAGTCAGTTAGTTATGAAAACCTTTGCTCAACCATGAATAAAAGATAACTCGGCTTGACAGAATTTTGGTTGTGCTCAAGCTCGGAAAAGGCTTAGTTAATTTTTTATAAGCATTCATATGAAAACTAGTTGTTTAATGCGTAGAACATCCTCCAAATCTTATGTGCACTCTTGGAGGCCCTAATAGAGCTTATCGTGATATCGACTATTGACTCGGAGCACATTGATGAGATCATGGCTATCAGAGGGCATTGAGATGCATCTAGTCGGAGGGTAGTGACATGTCTTATCATCCTTCCACAGACATTGAATGGTATCAGATGATATGCACGAAATACAACATAGAAGGAGAAGTTGAATATAGTGAGAGATTCAAGCCATTCTGAACGTCGCAGAATGATATACAATGATGAATGACGATAACTTCGAAGACTCAGGGTTAGCTCGAAGATGTTATGAGTTGCGTGAGACTCGTGGTTCACACGGAATATGGAAGGCTATTAGAATGGAAAGTGCTGAGTTAGATACAACTCGGTTGAGTCGTATAAATATCGAACGATACTTTTAACCATTCGTTTGACCCCGACTTTTATGTGGACTAACAGCGAGACAGGTTGGGCTGTTTGGGCTTTCTCCTGAGCACAAACACCCATAGAGAAGCAAGGGAGAGAGTGAAGGGCAGGCAAAACTAAATTCAAATCCATTCGCTAAAACCTAGTGGATTTAGATTTGGCCCAGGTTCAATCCAAGGCTAAGGGTGAACTCTACCATTTGGAGATTATCCAAACCCAAATCAATTGTTTTTGTTGGAGTGGTTAGTAAACCGTATATATTACCTTCAAGGCCTGAGCAAACCGATATTGGATACAAGTATGTTCTCATGGTTCATATTGCTGAGTTTAGGATTGGCTTGCTTCTCGATTTGAATATCAAGGCTGGTTGAGTCGACTAATATGAACCAAAATCTGTCACACTCGAATGTTATAGCTTTGTAGATGCATGTGATTTTTCTCACAAGTTAGACAGAAAGGCAAGGACACTTGGGTTTTAATGTAGAAGTTCCCAACCTTCTGTCCAAACTCATCTCAAATCTTGTCACATCCTGTTTGACATGTAAGTGTTTTTGTTTACAATAAAGCTACCAGTTTTTGATTGCAGTAAAGTGAACAAGTTGTTTGTAGATATATAAACCGAATTCTGTAAATACAATGATCCATAAACTTGGTTTTAATTAATTATTTGTGAATCTCATAATGCAACCCTAACTTGCTTGGGTCCAGCTCTTTTGGAAAAAGGTTTGTCACTGGAAGAGTTCAAAATCCCTTCTTAGCGAGCTTGTGATGCAGTTGAGCGAGGCCAGAGTGTGTGTTCGTAACTGTATTCAAGCTTGAGCTACTAGGTTAATTTTGCAGCCTTGGCTTTTCGGGTGCCCAAACTTGATAAAAGAATAAAGATTTTTGGTAAGAGATGTCAACAATGATAAGAATTGGCTTCACCGATAAAGTGCCTACGAAGGAGAAGTATTTTTAGATTCCTCAATTAGAGTTGTAGTTCTCTAAGGAAGCTGTTCCCATGATAATCCATGGACTAACCGGTGAGCAACCATTCAGTATGTCAATGTCCCTTTTCACAATAGTTTACAACATGATATATTGACTATGGATTTACAGCTTTTATGAACTACAAAGTGATCTCGGTCTCTCTCATGATTGGACTTTCTTTAGTTTGCTGGTCTTAATCTTACTGTTTTTGTCTGCATACAAATTGGGTTTGGTACTGTAGAGCAATACTCTCCCTTCCCAAATATTGGTCACTCTTACCTTCATACAAGGATACAATTGCTTTTGTTATTGTTTTCTGAATCACTCATGCATTGAATGTGGCTTTATCTCTGCAAAATGACCTATTTAGCTAGAAATGCTGTTATGAAAATACGAGTTTATAGATATACTCTGTTTATCAAGAAATTTTAGAATTGATTTTCGATAGTACTGAATCTTTTTGTTTGCGCATTCTTCTAAGTTCTTTTTGATGTATGCAGCACATAGGTGATTTCAATTATTCAAGGTTAGCAGATTTCGGAGCTGCAATATCTGGTGCGAACAAGTTACAAAGCCAGCAAGTGCTTGAAGAGCTAGATGTAAGTAGAATCTGGCAGAGTTTCATTTGTCAAGTTTCTCAATCTTCTCTTTGCCTGCATAATGATAAGAGTGCTTAACATAAATAAATGTATTGATATGCAAGGACTTTAGGTATGCTGCCTAGNGATGTAAGTAGAATCTGGCAGAGTTTCATTTGTCAAGTTTCTCAATCTTCTCTTTGTCTGCATAATGATAAGAGTGCTTAACATAAATAAATGTATTGATATGCAAGGACTTTAGGTATGCTGCCTAGGTTGTAATTCACAATTAAGGCCCATGGGCCATATAAAAAATATGCTACTATAGCTGTTAAGCTCCTGATGGAACATGTATTAGCAATAAGGTAAAGAACAGTGTTAATGTTTGAATTTTGTAATTATTGTACGTAATTTGGTAAAAGCAATCCTCAGGAACAGTTGGCTTTGTTTTTTTATGTGCAACTTATAGTTAGTGGATCCATCCTCCGAATGCCTTTTTTCCTCTTAAGTTCATGTTAACATTGTTATGATATACTTCATGACATGGCCATATAAAATTTGTGTTTTGTATGGGATAGAAGTGCCTGGTATTTAATCCATTTAGTGTCTGTAGAAAAAAATATTTCTATAAAGTTTGTTGCATCCATAATATTCTCCTAACTTTGCAGTTTTTTGCCAACTCAGGTGTATAAACGATTAGAACTTACCCTGGAATTAGTGAAGAAGGAAATGGAGATCAGTAAGATTCAGGTATGGCCTGCTAGTGCCACTAATTTATGTCAAAACTCTTTGTTATGTTGATTGTCTTTGTGTTCTTTACCTTTTCTTGGTTTTTTCAGGAATCTATAGCAAAAGCAATTGAAGAAAAAATAAGTGGTGAGCAGCGCCGTTACTTGTTGAATGAGCAGCTTAAGGCCATAAAGAAGGTGCATAGTTTCATTATATTCCATTATTATCTTTCTACCACTACAAGCTGCAAATAGCTGACCATCACTTTAGGTTGAGCTTCTAATTGATTGAGCAGGATTCTAAATCATTTCACTTCTAAATTTAGATGTTACTTGATTGTGATTTGTTTTGCATCGATGTAGGAACTGGGATTGGAGACCGATGACAAAACAGCACTTTCTGGTCAGTTCTGTTATCCACGGTATAATGTGTTATGTAGCAGGGTATTATAGGGAACTAAAGGCTGTGGTCTCAGTCATATTGGATGGCGTTATTCTTTCTGAGCCTTTTGTTGAATGAAGGCTCCCCATGAACTAAAATCTAATTGATCTAGCTTCAGAAAAACCAAGGTCGAAAACCCTTTCATTCTACCATGATCATTCAAACCCAAATTATGAAATGGAAAAAACTGAAAAGCTGTTGGCCTTGTGAGTTAAGGGGAATAGTCATGTCAAGTTCACAGTTACCAAAATTCTCTAAACCCTAACGATCTATGATTTGGGTACATTGATCCCAAATGGCATGAGTTCGTAATTCAGATTACCAAAATGTACGACCCAAATTATAATGCTAACCTTAAATCTATTTGTTTTGGAACATGTAGTGCAAATATAAAATATATGGTAATTGACTATGTGTATATAGATTTATAATTATATATTATTTTAGATAATAAAAAATTAAGCACAAATGGTAATTAACTTATTGTTTATGAATGTTCTATGATATATAATATTGTCAAAGATCAAAATTTCGTTTCAGTGCATTATTTCGATCACCTAGAAAACATAAATGTTTTGACCCATTTTGAAAATATTTCGACATGTTTCGAAAATAAAGTGAAAATAAATAAAAAATTTGAATTATTTTCCAAAACATTGGTCGAATGTACCAAAGTNCGTTATTCTTTCTGAGCCTTTTGTTGAATGAAGGCTCCCCATGAACTAAAATCTAATTGATCTAGCTTCAGAAAAACCAAGGTCGAAAACCCTTTCATTCTACCATGATCATTCAAACCCAAATTATGAAATGGAAAAAACTGAAAAGCTGTTGGCCTTGTGAGTTAAGGGGAATAGTCATGTCAAGTTCACAGTTACCAAAATTCTCTAAACCCTAACGATCTATGATTTGGGTACATTGATCCCAAATGGCATGAGTTCGTAATTCAGATTACCAAAATGTACGACCCAAATTATAATGCTAACCTTAAATCTATTTGTTTTGGAACATGTAGTGCAAATATAAAATATATGGTAATTGACTATGTGTATATAGATTTATAATTATATATTATTTTAGATAATAAAAAATTAAGCACAAATGGTAATTAACTTATTGTTTATGAATGTTCTATGATATATAATATTGTCAAAGATCAAAATTTCGTTTCAGTGCATTATTTCGATCACCTAGAAAACAGAAATGTTTTGACCCATTTTGAAAATATTTCGACATGTTTCGAAAATAAAATGAAAATAAATAAAAAATTTGAATTATTTTCCAAAACATTGGTCGAATGTACCAAAGTGTCCTAAAACACCTTAAAATATTCTGAAACAACAATGTAAGTGCGTCGAAACATTACAAAACACCTTAAAATATTAGAATTTTGATTCTATAGCTAATTCATTTTGGTCTCCTTAAAAACGAAAATGTTTTGGCTGTTTCGATCGTTTTGAAACAAAATTTTAATCTTTGAATGTTGTATAATAGTAAAAACAATTTAGATAAGAGTTTCAAAACGAATTGCGACCCAAAACACTACTCCTATCGTACCATGTACCTAACAAAGGGTCGTACCGCGTAACAGCACATGTGCCACGTAACTAATTTGTTTTGGTCTCCTTGAAAACGAAAATATTTCGGCTATTTTGATCATTTCGAAACAAAATTTTAATCCTTGAATGTTGTATAATAATTAAAACGATCTACATAAGAGTTTCAAAACGAATTGCGACCCAAAACACTGTACCAATTAGGCCTACTCCCATTGTACTGTGTAACAGTACCTGTGTCATGTATCAAAGCAACCCACGATCCAGGTAACTTTGGTCAATATTGGGTTGTTCCAATTTTGACACCATTTTGACCTTTCACTATTTATATTAAGGAGTGGTGTCTTTTTTTTTAGGTCTGTGTCTAGTAGTAATCAACCATAACCTGCTTATTTTATGTAAAATTCAAGTCCTCTAACGGGTTGTGTCGAAAATTACTACCCATAAGCCCATCAAGTCCATACTTATCTTGAGAAATTGTATGGAACAAAATACCAAGTTTGATCAATTTTATTTAGTTCATTATTGTTTTAGGTTAAAGAATCAGAAGTGTCTTTATTGCTAGTTTGTGGCAATATCAATCTGGAAAACCTCCATTTAATGTTAAAATCAAGTTGAATTTCCCCAACAAAGTTACTTTGATGGGCTGAGCTTGATCATGTTTTTGAAAAATTTGTCTGTGCTAGATCTGTGCTCAAATGTAGCCTGAGGCTGCCAGAGTCTAGCTCCTTTTCGATTTGATCACACCCTGAACTAAATAGTTTATTTATATTATAACTGAATATTGGGATTACTGTGACTTGATACTCTTGTGCTTTGCTGCAGCAAAGTTTAGGGAAAGGCTCGAGCCAAATAAGGAGAGATGTCCGCCTCATGTTTTGCAAGTCATAGAAGAAGAACTAACAAAACTGCAACTGTTAGAAGCCAGTTCTAGTGAATTCAATGTAACCCGCAATTATCTTGATTGGTTGACTGCATTGCCTTGGGGTAATTACAGGTCTGTAAGTTAGTCTATTTTTTCCTCTGGTGCTGTTCTCCTGATTGCATTTTTATGTGTTTTCAATGTTGGTAGTTTCAAGCTAAATTTTAAGGGTGAGGCTGGAATAAGTTTTTCTGATTTGTTGATGCATGTTATAATGACCTAGTCAGGTAAGACTCTTTTATTTATTATTGGCCTTCTTGTTACATACAATTTGTGGTTATGCATCACATTTTGTCCTGGCTTTGTCACCCTAAATTTTAACTGTTAATTGCCCTAGGAAATACAAGGATTTCTTCAAAACTCGTGACTTAAAGTTGCTACAAGTTTGGAAAGTCTGATATGAATAGTCTTTTCTTGACCTTATTTATTTATTTTTTTTTTTTGGGGGGGGGGATTATAAGGCTCGGGTGAGAAAAGTGTTGGAGTTCTCTAGTGTAACAGATCATTAACTTGAAAAATGCATGGACTTTGAAAAGCAAGGGTAATAGGGTATGACATTTTTAGGACAATGAACTTGTACAATTTTTTGTTCTTACCACAAACAGCCAACAATTCTTTGGCATAAGGGAAAAAAGTAAGGAAAAAGAAACAAAACAAAACCTTTTGTCTTTGGCATACCTAATGGGGAAGTTTTTGTTTGGTCTTCCAGGGTTTGTTGATTAATTTTTGTGGTTGCTGATTCTAGATCATGTTTTTGCAATATTGTTTCCTTCTGTTTGCTTGTTATTAATTTTCTTCTATGAAGCACATATACTTTATTAAGGTCGATGTACCATATTGGATACTGAATACAATACCCATCGGATACGTATCGGATATACACCAAACATATCCAATAATAAATAAAATATATTTATACTTTGCGGATACTTCTATATACAAAGAAGTATGTGTAATTTTTAGTTTTAAACTTTACCCTTTCCTTTTGATTTCACATACAATGCAATACATCAGCAAAAAATCATATGATTTAGAAGACACGTGTGTGTTTTTCAAGTATTATTCATTATCACATGTTCAAAGAGTTTAAATAAGTTGATTACTCTATAATCTTAACAACACATACTTCTAAACAATATAGTTAAATGTTGGTTGTTATTCCATTAATTAATTACGTTTACTTTGTAGATGTATCATAGTGAGACGATAGGTAACTTTTTGATAATAAAAAATTGTTCATGTTGTTTATTGTTGTTAAAGAATCACTAAAACTTATAGCTATCGGCTGTACCCGTATCTTACTTTTTGGGGTTTTTTTATATCATCGTATCTGTATCCGTGCTTCCTAGCTTTTTTTTTTGGTGTTGCAAGTTTTTCCTTCTAAATGCAAAGCTGCCAATAATATATATTTTATTAATCCTTTTCATTTGAAATTAAAGTTCATTCAATAGGCATGTAAGTGTTAGATGTCATTAATGCTTTGTGGAATGAAAGGACAGCAGGAACTTGAGCATCTAAAATTTTCATGGTATGACCTTCTAATCATGAACAAAGCTGCTTAGGTGGTGTTGAGGTGTGAACGGGATGCCTGTTATGTTGTTGCCTTTTGGGTTGGTTTTTGAAATTATTTTCAGGATGTTGTCTGGCCCTTTTTGATATTAAAAGAAACACACATAGATTCAACTAAGGAGTAATGCTTATAAGTTCTTATAGTGTCATTTGTTATTGTTAATAACTTGATATTATCTTGTTATATGGGGAAGAGTAATAATAGAATTATTAGCAGTTGGCAATCTGGTGGTCGGCATATATTATTGCACCCAAGGATCAAAATTTCGTTTCGAAACATTGTTTCAGTCACCTAAGAAACGGAAATATTTTGATGTATTTCGGAAACGCTTCGACTCGTTTCGAAATCAGAATGAAAAAAATAAAAAAATTAAGAATTATTTTTTCAAAATATTGGTCAAAATATACTAAAATATCTTGAAATACCTTAAAATATTTTGAAATAATTGGGCAAATGCATTGAAATATAACAATACATTTCGAAATATTATGGAATACCTCGAAGTATTAAAATTTTGATTATATTACTGATTCGTTTCGGTCTCATTGGAAACGGAAACGTTTCGGATGTTTTTACCGTTTTGAAGCGATATTTTGATCCTTGTTGCACCATTATTTTTTCTAGGATTGCTTGTGGGATCATATATGTTCTTGTGTAAATTTGGGGATTTTTAACAGAATGTCGTATGATTTCGGAGTTGTTTTTGGTGGTCTTTATTTTAATGCAGTGATGAAAACTTCGATGTCATACGGGCACAGCAAATCCTTGACGAAGACCATTATGGATTAACTGATGTTAAGGAAAGGATATTGGAATTTATAGCAGTGGGAAAACTTAGAGGAACCTCACATGGTTGGTGATTCTCTCTTCTACTTCTCATTGGATTGCGAATAAAAAATGTGGGGATCAGTTTAACATATTCATTGTTTTTAGTAGTCTTGTATTCACCCCAGCCCCTCCCCAGCTGATAGGCCGTCTTTTTCTGCTACCTAGTTGTGGATGCAATTTTGAGTTAGAGACCCTTGGAAACGAAATTTAATCTGTGTGCTGAAGACTTTTAAGGCACAGTTCTTCAAAAACTGAAGGAACGATCATGAGTATGGATGATATTTTCTGAACCTGAAAAATGACATTATGTTCTTAAAGTAAATTGCATGAATCTAATTTCAACTATGAAAAGGATATGGTTTCCACATCTTCGTTTTAGTAAAATAAACAGGATAATATTGTATCTAGCCGATGTCAGGGTTGCCAGTTGATTTGAAAGAATACATTTCTTCAATTGAACCTAGAAAGAATGGGTCCTGATATTAGAGGACCTTTAATATTTAGTCAGATGATGGTGCTAATGAGAATATCTTTCACCCATCAATTTCTGGTTGGTTTGGAATGTGTTGATACTTGATACCATCAAAAGTGTTTAATATCCTTGTGCAAAACCTTTATATTGTTGTAGATGTTTCTGAATTTTTCAGTTTAAAGTGGAGAGTACATAGAGGAAGCGAGAGACAGGTGAGCTGGTTGAACAGAGGTTAAACCAGCTCTTGAAGAATCTGGAAGTCATGAATTGGCATGTAAAGTATGAAAAAACAGGTGGTAGAAGGAAGATGAAGTTAGCCTAAAAGTGGAGTGGTTATGGACCTGTAGACATCTAGACTTGGGGACTACTTCAAAATTTATTACTATGGACAGTGTGAAGCAGTGAGGGATGTTACAATACATTAGGTTGAAAGGATGGGAGAATGAGATCTATCCACTTGGTAGGATTGAGTGTAAGAGCATAATGGAAGATGTGGCCATTTAGGAAGATTTTTTATTTTATTTTGATTTCATTGATGACAAGAATTTGAGGACTTGAGAACATGAAGTGGAAAAATTTGAAGGGATGAGTATGTAGAAAATTTTATCTTGGATGAATGCTAGTTGGAGCTTGGATGTTATAGGAGATGAAAGTTGATAATGTGATTTGGTTCTTTAGTTTGTTTATCATGATTTGGAAGACAAAAAAGGATTTGCAATGAAAGGAAGTAGAGGCGGCCTGGGATGAACTGAGGCTTTAGGCAAAAATTTTAGATAAGGTCCCATTAATATTGGTGTAATAGTATAAGTAATATTATATAGTTATTAAAACGTTAAAAATCATAAAAAATAGGAAATAATAATAAAATCCAAACCTAGTATCAGACACTCAAGTGTTTTTATAATGTCATTGGCTGTATAAATAAATTTTTGCAAACTCAATTCAAATCTAAACAAATTTAACTTATCAAAAAACCGTAATTGGAAAAAAACAATGAATAGAATAATATTTAAGCTGTCGAGAGTAGTTGAAACAGTGATTGTAAGAAAATATTATGAAGGTTTCTCTATGCATGGTAGGTTCCAAAATATAAATAGTATTATTTTGAAAGAAATGAGTCTGACATTACTTTAGGTTTCAAGAGTCATAAATGAGTGCAACATATCCACTACTGACAGAAGAAAACTTGTTAGGAAGAAGGTAGCATGGATGTGCTAGACTAATAAATTATGAATGGAAAACTAAAAGACTAGTTGAATGCAAGTAAAAGAGGAGATGCATGTGATGAAAGGCGTCTAACTTAAAATCACTTGGCAATATAAATTAAAAAAACCAGGTTACACCAACGTCAAAGGAGTCCACATACTAATACTAATGTNTGTTAGGAAGAAGGTAGCATGGATGTGCTAGACTAATAAATTATGAATGGAAAACTGAAAGACTAGTTGAATGCAAGTAAAAGAGGAGATGCATGTGATGAAAGGCGTCTAACTTAAAATCACTTGGCATTATAAATTAAAAAAACCAGGTTACACCAACGTCAAAGGAGTCCACATACTAATACTAATGTATAAAATGCCAAGACAAGAAAGAGTGAAACTGTATGATTACATGAAAATCAAAACTAAATATATAGGGAAGGAAAATAGAAACTCACATGTTCTTCATGTGGACGTCGTAGTTTCTTTCAAAATTGTGTTTTGGAGAAAGAAATTGGAGAGAGAAAGAGAACGATAGTGAGAGACAGTGAGAAGAATAAAGACAAGAGAGAGAGAAACTACGACAAAAATGGACTTAATTGAATGTAGATCCAAAAAATTTATTTGAGGGTTTGAAGATAAAATTGGGTAGAATTGAATATGGGCAAAAAATTTTTTTGAGGCCCTGANAAATTTATTTGAGGGTTTGAAGATAAAATTGGGTAGAATTGAATATGGGCAAAAAAATTTTTTGAGGCCCTTANCTTAATTGAATGTAGATCCAAAAAATTTATTTGAGGGTTTGAAGATAAAATTGGGTAGAATTGAATATGGGCAAAAAATTTTTTTGAGGCCCTGACCCAACATTGGGCCTAATTGGACTTGGTTTTTATTTGGGGGACCTAAAAATTTTGGGGGCCATTGGTGGCATTTTAATTGCCTAGGCTGTCCATGACAAGAGGGAAAGTACAATGTTATTGATGTATAAAATGGAAGTTAATATTTTAAGTTGCATTACCAATTGTGTTGACTTTTGAGGCTTAAAATTTCAACTTTTAAATACATTGATCTAGTAAAGATCAAGAAAACAAATGTTACCATATCATATTATCTGCTTGATAGTTAATTTTTGAATAGGAAATCTTGATGATATTGCACACTGGACATAAACTATTAGAACTAATATTTGGATGCTTTTTGGAGAAGTTTTGAGAAAAGAGGGCAAATTTTTGTATGGTGTTCATTGATTTCGGAAAATAAGTCCTTAGAATAATCATGGAATAATGGGGGTTGGGAGAGAAAAAATGAAGTCTTTAGATATATCCATGTGAGTAAAACTAAGCGGAGAAATAAGTAAATTTAGGGTTAAATGTAAAACATCCCCCCAGTACTTAGGGTCTTCCTAATTCTCTCTCCCCATCCATTCTTTTCGAAGAAAATTCATTTACCTCAATTGTTCGTCCATTAGCACCACATTTGTTCGTCATTTTGTCGTAGAGAATACCACACAATTGCTTTCATCGGGTAAATCTGAGAACCAACCCATGACCTTGCAATTGTTTCCCTTCTTGCGAAAGCCTCTAGCATATTACATGCAAGGCCTCTAATCAAACCCAATTCTACCATCTTTACACCCTTTACCACCAAGAAACACATCACTCACTGAACAACTCCTATGAAGCCGGTGGTGGTGAGTGTTCCTACAACTCCCATAATCCACCCAATTTCTACCACTGCTCCTGTATGAAAACACAATTGAGTCACCAGTATGGGCTTGATTAGGGGAGTTTAGGCGAGGGTGGGCTGGGGTGGGGGTAGTTTTGACCGGGGTGGGAGTGTTTGTAGGGGGTGGGTTTTGCTGCGGAAGTGGGCTGCGATGGTGGTGTTGTAGGTGGTGGGTTTCGACGGGGAAAGGAGTGGGTTTGGATAGAGAGTTTTGCTATGGGAGTAGGCTCGGTTGTGAGAGTTTCGGCGGGGGTGGGAGTATTATGGGGGGTATGTTTTGGTGTGGGAGTGGGCTCCGATGGTGTGGTGGTGTTGCAGGTGGTGGTTTCAATGGGGAAATGAGTGGGTTTGGAGAGAGAGAGATGGCTAAGTAGGTGGTGGGCTGGCATGGGGGAGGGGCTGCGATGGTGATGTCGCAGGTAGTGGATTTTGGTCGGGAAATGAGAGGTTTTGGAGAGAGAGAGATATATCATTGGGTTGGGGAGGGTATTTTAGGAATTATAATTTATAATTTTAACACATTTTATCTCCAATTGCAGTTTTGAGCGAGTGTTTAACACCTTCCATTAAATTAGCAATGTTTGTCTATTTTTGCACTTTATTTTTAAGTTGTTTGGGGGGGGAGGGGCAGGAGGTTTAGTGCAATGGTTAAATGTAAAGCTACAAGGTCACATGCAAATGACACTAAGTACAAGAAGGTATTTTGCATTTTACCCTAAATTGGTTCAAAGTATCGCCCAAGTCATATCCGAGTCGATCCCAACCGATCCGATAATGCAATGCGGTATGTTTAATCTCCTAACTCAAATACGCTTAGTCTCCATGCAATGCGATGTGATACGATTAGTCTCTCCATGCAATGTGAGACGCTTAGTCTCTCTCAAATTGGTCCTAACTCGAATATAAATTGGTCGAATCGATGTGAATCAGTCTCAACTCGGTTTACTCAGCCCAACTCGTCACCAACTCGGACCGTTTGTCAAGAAATCCCACAAGATGTAGAAAAAAAGAAGAAAGTCAAAAAAAGAGGCAGAAAACAAGATGAAATCGAGACCCAATCAGTAACCCACAATACCTAGATGCAAAATCACATTATCGGTGGTCCGGGAAGAGCTTTAGAGCTCCGATCGTGAAGACCTAGCGTTGTGTTTCCCCATTGGTTCCCTAAAGATTTNCTTTAGAGCTCCGATCGTGAAGACCTAGCGTTGTGTTTCCCCATTGGTTCCCTAAAAATTTCTNGGAAGAGCTTTAGAGCTCCGATCGTGAAGACCTAGCGTTGTGTTTCCCCATTGGTTCCCTAAAGATTTCTCTCTCTCTCTCTTGCTCGCTAAGTACAGGAACTGAGTTGTCTGGCACTGAAGGGCCTTTACGAGTGAATATTGAAGAGGTTTAATGTGAGAAGACTGAAGGGTCTTCACTCTTAATAATTGGAGGTAAAAAGACTCTTCAGTCCTCGTTACTATTAAACAATGTTACCTGAATTGTGGGACCCTATGGTGTGTAGTACGGGTTCGGGTACATGGTACGACATTTTATTAGGTACGCGATACGATGGAGGTAGGTTTAGTTGGTACGGTATTTTGGGTCCCAATTCGTTTTGGAACTCTTATGTAGATCGTTTTCACTACTATATACCATTATATATTATAGAACATTCATAAACACTAAGTTATTATTTATCTTATAGTTGTGCTTGATTTTCTATTATCTAAAACAATATATAATTATAAATCTATATACATATAGTCTATTAATATGTATTTTATATTTGTGCTACATGTTTTAAAGTGAATTGATTTAAGGTTAGTATTACAATTTGGGGTCGTCCATTTTGGTGATCGGGATTGCGAACCCACCTTGTTTGGGATCGTGTACCCAGATCGTGGGTTATTAAGGATTTAATGAATTGTGGTAACCATGCTATTAAATACCCAGAACAATTTTTGAGTTATTAATATATACCCAAACTTTTTTTTATTTTTATTGGATTTGATTTTACCGTTAAATTTTGAATCCATCGATGTCTAATTTTAAATCAGAATTTTAAATGTAGCCCATAAAATATTAGGACCCAAGTTTAATCCTAAGAGAACAATGAATTAATTCTCAAACTAGATCTCCTAATTAAATCCAACTAATATTACTTTATAAATTTATTTCTGATAGCAACAAAACACTCCATTTACACTCCAATTAATGTGTTTGATGATGTATTTTACACATATGATGCATGGATTTTATTCTTTATATTTTTTTAAAGATTTTTTTTCCAAATTTTAAGAGCCATCTATCTAGCATTTTGTGCGCTAATACTACGACCGATGTGTCTCAATGCCTTCGGAGTCGATGGCCAATATCGTGATTTCGAACCATGCCTTAAACCCATGATAAGACATACTAATGTAATATACCCTTATAAATATGTTGCTAAATATCCCTACTAAGGTATTTGCATCAACCCATGCATGTTACCATGACTATGTACTTGATCATAATCTTTCTTTATAGAAACTGTTGTTTATGGAAGCCTAACCCAATAATTATTTTCGGGTTTAACTGTCTGGAGCATGAGACTTAAAGCTTTGTACTTTGGAGCTTTTTGCCTTTCTTTACTGCTGCTTCCTTTCAGTCGATGATGTGACCTACCATGTCGCTTTTTAAGATGAGTTCATTCTGAGAAGTACTGCATTTTGTGCATTCACCTTATAACATGTGCAATGATTTTGAAGAACCTTTGAGTATTAGTTCTCTATGTGAAGACTTAATTGAATTTCTAGGATNTATCGCCCAAGTCATATCCGAGTCGATCCCAACCGATCCGATAATGCAATGCGGTACGTTTAATCTCCTAACTCAAATACGCTTAGTCTCCATTCAATGCGATGTGATACGATTAGTCTCTCCATGCAATGCGAGACGCTTAGTCTCTCTCAAATCGGTCCTAACTCGAATATAAATTGGTCGAATCGATGTGAATCAGTCTCAACTCGGTTTACTCAGCCCAACTCGTCACCAACTCGGACGGTTTGTCAAGAAATCCCACAAGATGTAGAAAAAAAGAAGAAAGTCAAAAAAAGAGGCAGAAAACAAGATGAAATCGAGACCCAATCAGTAACCCACAATACCTAGATGCAAAATCACATTATCGGTGGTCCGGGAAGAGCTTTAGAGCTCCGATCGTGAAGACCTAGCGTTGTGTTTCCCCATTGGTTCCCTAAAGATTTCTCTCTCTCTCTCTTGCTCGCTAAGTACAGGAACTGAGTTGTCTGGCACTGAAGGGCCTTTACGAGTGAATATTGAAGAGGTTTAATGTGAGAAGACTGAAGGGTCTTCACTCTTAATAATTGGAGGTAAAAAGACTCTTCAGTCCTCGTTACTATTAAACAATGTTACCTGAATTGTGGGACCCTATGGTGTGTAGTACGGGTTCGGGTACATGGTACGACATTTTATTAGGTACGCGATACGATGGAGGTAGGTTTAGTTGGTACGGTATTTTGGGTCCCAATTCGTTTTGGAACTCTTATGTAGATCGTTTTCACTACTATATACCATTATATATTATAGAACATTCATAAACACTAAGTTATTATTTATCTTATAGTTGTGCTTGATTTTCTATTATCTAAAACAATATATAATTATAAATCTATATACATATAGTCTATTAATATGTATTTTATATTTGTGCTACATGTTTTAAAGTGAATTGATTTAAGGTTAGTATTACAATTTGGGGTCGTCCATTTTGGTGATCGGGATTGCGAACCCACCTTGTTTGGGATCGTGTACCCAGATCGTGGGTTATTAAGGATTTAATGAATTGTGGTAACCATGCTATTAAATACCCAGAACAATTTTTGAGTTATTAATATATACCCAAACTTTTTTTTATTTTTATTGGATTTGATTTTACCGTTAAATTTTGAATCCATCGANTTTTCACTACTATATACCATTATATATTATAGAACATTCATAAACACTAAGTTATCATTTATCTTATAGTTGTGCTTGATTTTCTATTATCTAAAACAATATATAATTATAAATCTATATACATATAGTCTATTAATATGTATTTTATATTTGTGCTACATGTTTTAAAGTGAATTGATTTAAGGTTAGTATTACAATTTGGGGTCGTCCATTTTGGTGATCGGGATTGCGAACCCACCTTGTTTGGGATCGTGTACCCAGATCGTGGGTTATTAAGGATTTAATGAATTGTGGTAACCATGCTATTAAATACCCAGAACAATTTTTGAGTTATTAATATATACCCAAACATTTTTTTATTTTTATTGGATTTGATTTTACCGTTAAATTTTGAATCCATCTANATATGTATTTTATATTTGTGCTACATGTTTTAAAGTGAATTGATTTAAGGTTAGTAATACAATTTGGGGTCGTCTATTTTGGTGATCGGGATTGCGAACCCACCTTGTTTGGGATCGTGTACCCAGATCGTGGGTTATTAAGGATTTAATGAATTGTGGTAACCATGCTATTAAATACCCAGAACAATTTTTGAGTTATTAATATATACCCAAACTTTTTTTTATTTTTATTGGATTTGATTTTACCGTTAAATTTTGAATCCATCTATGTCTAATTTTAAATCAGAATTTTAAATGTAGCCCATAAAATATTAGGACCCAAGTTTAATCCTAAGAGAACAATGAATTAATTCTCAAACTAGATCTCCTAATTAAATCCAACTAATATTACTTTATAAATTTATTTCTGATAGCAACAAAACACTCCATTTACACTCCAATTAATGTGTTTGATGATGTATTTTACACATATGATGCATGGATTTTATTCTTTATATTTTTTTAAAGATTTTTTTTCCAAATTTTAAGAGCCATCTATCTAGCATTTTGTGCGCTAATACTACGACCGATGTGTCTCAATGCCTTCGGAGTCGATGGCCAATATCGTGATTTCGAACCATGCCTTAAACCCATGATAAGACATACTAATGTAATATACCCTTATAAATATGTTGCTAAATATCCCTACTAAGGTATTTGCATCAACCCATGCATGTTACCATGACTATGTACTTGATCATAATCTTTCTTTATAGAAACTGTTGTTTATGGAAGCCTAACCCAATAATTATTTTCGGGTTTAACTGTCTGGAGCATGAGACTTAAAGCTTTGTACTTTGGAGCTTTTTGCCTTTCTTTACTGCTGCTTCCTTTCAGTCGATGATGTGACCTACCATGTCGCTTTTTAAGATGTGCAATGATTTTGAAGAACCTTTGAGTATTAGTTCTCTATGTGAAGACTTAATTGAATTTCTAGGTTATACTGAGATTAAGAAATGAGTTATTTTCTGTCTTCTTATAAGCAAGTGCCAGTTGTCTTTCCTTTTATCTTTTGTTATTAGTTCGAGAGGCAGAATTCATACTTTGTTTTACTCCGATGATTATTTGCGAAAATTTTGCATGACATGGAACAAATCAAGAAATTAAGTATTTGGTCAATTTGGTGAGTATGATTTCTCTTTGTGGAGCCTCTTTAATGGCATAACCTTACTCCATCATGGATTGCATATGCCATATGCAATGATTCACCCATTTTTGAGAGATATTGATGGTAGCTTTCATTTGTTTCTTTTTTGGAGCTATTTGATACTTATTCTTTTCTGATGGTCATTTTTTGGCATTGCATATGCATGTGCAATAAACTGCCTCATTCTTGAGGGATACTGATGTTAGTTTTCATCTATTTTTGTTTTCTTTGTAGAGCTATTGAATACTTATTTTATTTATCATTTAATTTTGTTTTCTTTGTTGAGCTATCTGATACTTACTATTTTCTGATGATTGTTACCCCTGAAAGTTCAAACTTATTCAGTAAAATAGATGCTTGATACCTTTTTTCCTTCTTAACTAATTACAGGAAAAATCATCTGTCTTTCTGGCCCTCCTGGAGTGGGCAAGACTAGCATTGGTCGTTCTATTGCTCGTGCGTTGAATCGTAAGTTCTATCGATTTTCTGTTGGAGGATTGTCTGATGTGGCTGAAATCAAGGTAGACTAAACATGGTAAATCTGAGATGAAGTCATTATTGCACATTGATTTTATGCATGTATGACTTCCATTATTAACCATTGCATGCAGGGGCATCGTCGAACCTATATTGGTGCCATGCCGGGGAAAATGGTACAATGTCTGAAAAATGTGGGAACAGCAAACCCTCTTGTTCTGATTGACGAAATTGACAAGGTATTGTACGACTTTTGTGACCTTTTTACAGCCGCATGGATTTGTTTTCTGTTGCTCCTTGTCGATGGTGGTTTGTCTTTGAGTTTATCCAAACAGAGAATATGATGAGCATCAAGAGCTTATGCTTTGCTCAGGATTTGTTTTTTGTTGGTTGTTAAATGCTTTTGGATATTCATGATCATTATTGATTTTAGGATTTTAATATGGTTTTTTTATGGCAGTTGGGAAGGGGACATGCAGGTGATCCGGCAAGTGCCATGTTGGAGCTCCTTGATCCAGAACAAAATGCAAATTTTCTAGATCACTATCTTGATGTTCCAATCGACTTATCAAAGGTTAGTTAGTTGGTGGGATATCCATCCTTGCCTCCTTGGAAAGTGTTGTGATGCGAACATTCTTCCAACCATACTTGTGGTCTTTTTGGGTATCCACATGGTTGTAAACTGTTTTGTTGTTGTTTGGATTATGCCCTGCAAGGTGAAAGATTGTCTAGAATGTTAGCATCAGGCCAGACCATGGTTACCACAATTCACTAAATTCTTAGCGACCCACGATCTAGGTACATCGATTCCAAGTAAGGTGGTTTCGCGATCTAGATCACTCAAATGGATGACCCCAAATTATAATACTAACCCTAAATCAAGTCACTTTAAAACATGTAGCACAAATATAAAGTACATATTAATCGACTACATGTATGTAGATTTATAATTATATATTGTTTTAGATAATAGAAAATCAAGTACAACTATAAGATAAATGATAACTTAGTGTTTATGAATGTTCTATAATATATAGTGGTGTATAGTAGTGAAAACGATCTACATAAGAGTTTCAAAACGAATTGCGACTCAAAATACTGTACCAACTAAACCTACCTCCATCATACCGTGTATCTAAGAAAGTGTCGTACCATGTACTCAAACCTGTACTACGTACCATAGCGTCCCATGATTCACGTAACATTGGGCCACACTTCGAAACGTGAGGAATGTGTGAGAATCAACTTTGCTTGTGTGATGTAGTGCATTTGGTGAGAAAAGAAAGGAAAGACCTGTGTAGGAATTGAGCTTTCTTGCTATTGCTTGGCATTTTTCATCTTAGCATACATCTCAACTTAAACTAATCTTTGTCCCAGTATTTTTGGGTCAGTTATATGAAATCTTATTCGCCATAAGGGCAATGTTTTCTATTAAATAATAAGTTATTATATCTTTCTTTATTATTTTAAAATTAATTTTGGTCTTGTTTTACCCCTTCGTTTACCGTCAATAGCTATATTTCCTCGTTCTTTCTTACAGGTGCAGGTGCAGTAATATGTCCAAACCATTGAAGTTGATTCTCCCTTATTTTATAACCTATATTTGCTACCTCTACCTTTTTTGCAATAGTTTCATTCTTAATTCTAGCTTTCCTAATTTTATCACACATCTATCTTAACATTCTCATTTTTGTCACGCTCAATTTTTGGACATGTTGTTTCTTAATTGCCTAACACTAGGTACCATAAAACATGGTCTTATGATTGTTTTATAAAATTTTTCTTATAGTTTAAGGGGTATGCGCCTATCGCACAATACATCGTATGCATTCGTCCATTTAGTCATCTTGCCTTAATTCTATGAGTAACACAATCACCAATCTTGCAATCCCTTTGAATAATTGACCGTAAATATCCAGAGTGAATATTGTTCATTATCGTTTTATGCTCGATCTTTACTATTCCCCAATTTAGATTCCTCCTTTTATTAAAGTTACATTCCATATATTCAATTTTACTTACATTCCATATATTCAATTTTACTTCTACCGATGTTAAATCCTTTTGATCCGAAAGCCTCTCCAAACTCCTAAATTATGATTTAAGTCCTCTACTTTCGTCGATTAATACTATATCAATCGCAAAAAACATACACCATGGGATTTCAGTCACGATGTGTCTAGTTAATTCATCCATAATCAAAGCAAAAAGATATGGACTCAAAGTCAAACCCCGATGTAAGCATACATTGATTGAGAATTCATTAGTCTCTCCTACCATTGCTCATTAAAGTCATCACTTTTTCGTATGTATTCTTAATCACCTCTATATACCTAATAATATATATTTATCTAGGGACTCTATTATGTCTTTCTAAGTTTAGAAAAACCATAGGAGGATCCTTATTCTTCTTTGTGTACCTTTCCATTAGTTTTCGAAGTATTATATAGCTTCCATTGTTGATATCCCAGGCGTAACGCAAATTGATTATCTGATAAAGTTGTTTCACATCTTGATCTTTGCTCAATCATTATCCCTCAAAGTTTCATTGATGACTCATTAGTTTAATACCTTGATAGTTTGTGCAATTTTGTATGTCTTCCTTATTCTTTGTCATGATAATTTTATTAATAATTTAGTTAACCATGATACCCCAACATCCTCTAAGCACTTCTAAACCTCAGTAGGTATTCCATAAGGTTGTAAGGCTTTCCGGGCCTTACTTTTTTTAATGCTTCCTTAATTCAGTCAGCCTAATTCTGCGAAAAAAATTGTTTTCTCTAATCCCCTCATGATTTCTAGCTTCCTCAATATCTAAGCTCCCTATTAAATTTCATTTTTCATTTAGCAAAGTAATTCATCTATCTTTCCTTAATTTTCTTGTTTTGCACCAAAACCCTAGAATCTTCACTCCTAATACACTTAATATGATTAAAACCTCTAGTTTTCTTTCTTTTGATTTAGCAAGCTTATATATACTTTACTCCTTTTTATATATTTTGGAGTAACACTTGTTATAGGCTTTGTACTCGGCTCTATTTTTTACTTCTTTATTTGCAAGGATCAAAATTTTGTTTAGGTGTATTATTTCAGTCACCTAGGAAACGAAAACATTTTGACCAGCTTCGAAAACAAAATGAAAAAAAAAAAAAAATTTAAGAATTATTTATTCAAAACGTTAGTCGAAATATACCAAAATATCTTGAAATACCTTGAAATATTTTAAAATAATTGTGCAAATACATTGAAATATAACAAAACATTTCGAACAAGGATCAAATTTTTGTTTTGAAAAGGTCAAAAAGTCCGAAACGTTTTTGTTTCCAAGGAAACAGAAACGAAACAGTGATAGAATCAAAATTCTAATACTTCGAGGTGCTTCATAATGTTTCAAGGTGCTTTGTAATGTTTCAATGTATTTGCACAATTATTCGGAATGTTTTAAGGTATTTCAAGATACTTTGGTGTATTTTGACCAATGTTTTAAAAAAATAATTTTTAAATTATTTATTTTTTCATTCTGTTTTTGAAACAGGTTGAAATGTTTCCGAAATACGTCGAAATTTTTTTCGTTTTTTAGGTGACCAAAACAATGCACCGAAACAAAATTTTGATCGTTGATTTCGAAACGTTATGAAACACTTCGAATTATTAGAATTTCGATTTCATCACTAATTCATTTTATTCTCCTTGAAAACAGAAATATTTGGGATGTTTCGACCGTTTTGAAACGATACTTTGATCCTTGTTTGCAAGTTTGTAAATTTTTGAAGTTTTTTTCGTTTTTTGTTTTTTTTCGTGTTGTAACAATCTCTTTTTGCTTTTACCGCATTTTGGACCTCTTCATTCTACCACTAAGTTTTTCTCGCTAGTAGCCCATTGCCTTTTGATTCTCCAAGGACCTCTATGGATACCTTCTTTTTTTTAAATATATTATACCATTGTATTCCACATTATATATTTTTTCATCTTTTAGATTCCATGCTACTCATTTTAGTATTCTATTCTTAAACAATTTTATTTTTTCACATTTCAAATTCCACCACTAGTTCTTAGATTTTTATTAGGTTCTTAAATGATTTTTAATATGTACATCTAGTACCGTTAGTTATCCTATGTTGTGTGGTCAAACTCTCCCCTGGAATAACCTTACATGATCTAAGATCATCCCTAGTTAGGAAAAAGTCTATATGACTTATTTAAGCCACTTTTAAAAGTAATTAAATGTTCATCTCTCTTTTTAAAATATGTATTCGCTATCATAAGATCCTTTTCTACCATGTACCCAAGGATCAAAATGTCGTGTCGACACATCCGAAACGTCCGAAACGTTTCGGAATTTCAACACTCCGAAACGAAACAGTAGTTGAATCACAAAATTCCAGTGTTTCGGTCGAAACGGTACTGTTTCGGACCGTTTTGGTCGAAACGGCATTGTTTCGGACCGTTTCGATCGAAACAGTACCGTTTCGACAAAACAGTGATATATTCGGTTCATTATGAATAATTACATTTAATACCCCATTATAATTACATTTAATACCCACTGTAATTACATTTAATACTCACTATAATTATATTTAATATCCCACTATAATTACATTTAATTCCCACTGCTCTTCTGTCTTTTATAATTTTTTTGTTATAAGAATAAATAATTACACTTAATACCCTACTATAATTATATTTAATACCCATTATAATTATATTTAATACATACTGTAATTATATTTAATACCTCACTGCTGTGCAAGTTTTTTGCTTTTTTTTTTTTTTATAAGTATTAACAATTACATTTAATACCCTAATGTAATTATATTTAATACCTACTGTAATTACATTTAATACCCACTGCAATTACATTTAATTTTTAAGTATACATAAGTATCATTAATTTAATTTGATACCCTTCATTATTAGTATTATAATAAAATAGTATTATTAATTGGATTATATTACCGTAATAATATGATTTGGAGTAACTATTGTCATCATATTTATGTCACATATGGAGTTTCTCTAAGTAGCTACCCAGAGCCTACACCGATGTATGAGCCTGCTCGACACTCCACAGGGGAATGGATGTAACCATGTAAGTATGTACTCATTAGCATTTCATGTGTATTATAAGACCTTAATATTATGTAAAAATGTGTTTATTTCATAAAAATTAAGTGTTTGAAACTAATTTAAGTGACTTTCGCCTCAAGTCAAGCCTTTTTTTCCCTCAAATTTAAATTTATTCTTGTATAAATTGATGTTAACCTAATAAATATGTTGAATTAATAAATTATTTAGCATATCTTTATAAATTAATGGATTGCATTTGTGTTTCTATGCGTTTCCATATTTTTTCTGCGTTTCCATTGCGTTTCCGAAATGTTTCCGAAACGTTTCTATTTTTGAGTTGACCGAAACGGTACTTCGAAACAAAATTTTGATTCTTGTAGATAACCACATTAAAACTCAATTTTCAGAGGATATGGATGAGCTAATGAGAGCAATACCTATAGAAGAGAGTATATACATGAGAGGAGACTTTAATGGTCACGTACGAAACGATCGAGTGGGATATGGGAGGGT